CTATTCCCATATTCTACTGACGTTTTTTCATAACTACTACTAGTGAGAATCATCTTTATTTTATGCCAATACTAATAAAGTAACTAAAAAAAATTAAATTGAACAATATTTATAAAAAATATGCAAATTATTGTAATGCCCGAGGGTCGTCAGATATTTATTAATTAATTGAGTTTCCTTCTCCCTGACATAGGCACTGGGAATCTTTTTTCACCCTTGGATTTTTTTTTACAATCTGTTGTAATACCTTTTTATTTTAAAAAACCTATCTCTTCTCTTAGTTCTACAAGATTTTTTGAATAATTGGGCGCAAATTTTCAATCCCCGGGTATGTTATACGCTGTTTTAGGTGGGCCATACTTGACACAGGTAGCCTTATAACTTCTTGACAGTGGAGTATGTAGCCGTGAGACAATTAGCAATGACTTTTTTGAGAAGGCACAGGATTATTTCTTCTCGTCTTGATTTTTTAATGCTATAAACCACTTTTCACTATTTTGTTTTACATTTACTAGTTTGGAGATGTTTCTTCTCCAGGCCTCATTTCATTTTGTTCATCCCTAAAAAATATTTACCACCACTTTGCTATGTCGCTCCGAGTGTAATGGTGTCGAATAATGGGATCCAGAGGTCCTTATCAAGTATAATGCCTACATTGCATGTATTATTTCTGTCCGGAATGCTAAATACCTGGTTCTGTGTATCCAAATTGGTATTTTTGAGACAATAAGGGCCAAAATACTGAGAGAAACCGGACTCTATATCATCACGGAGAAGGATTTCCCTCTGCTAGTAAGCGAGGATAACTACCCTTACTACGAAGCTTTTATAAACGAGTGGAAGGAATTAATTGGGGTTGATCATTTCAACCTCTACTAATCTTGAAGATGGAAGAACGAAGAATGAGAGCAAGTGGTAGAGGTATTGTGCTGCTTCTTTCAAAAATCTGTAGTGCAGAAAGGGAAGGAAGTATACTAATTTAATAAAAATAAAGATACGTCACCGGTTTAGGAAAAACATAATATTTGGCGGGTATAAGTACAGGATAGTATAAGTACATTATTGAACCACATTGTGTTAATATTATAATATTTTTAATTGTGGATTAATGGTTGACTGTCGTGAATAATGAAGAGAAGAATGGTTGGGGTGATCAGTCAGAAATAAGAAGGCAAAAATAAATAGTAATATTTATTTTGACATTTGCTGACGTTTCGACCTGAAGTTCAGGCCTTCATCAGGGCTTTTCCAGTAGCTGACAGAAGCAAAGTGGGGTTATTTTTATTTTTTATTTTAAATTTATTTTTGCCTTCTTATTTCTGACTGATCACCCCAACCATTCTTCTCTTCATTGAATATTTTTAATATTATACGGTTAATATTTTTCAGAGAGAAAAACTTTGTCCAACAAAGTTGATATTCGTATTTCATACGTCAAAAAAAATACTGATTTTTATTTTTATTGAAAAATAAAACTTTTTGCTTAAATTTATTTCATTCGATTGTTTTGAACTCACCCTCTCTCAAATGCAATATTTCTACTGTATAACCTTACTTTTCTGATTTACAGAAATATGATAAACCGAATCTCCATAAATGTATATGAAAAACCCTATTATTTGAAGTCATTGGAGAAACAGTGAACTATTTTCAGTAACAGGTGTCATAAGAATGACTAGTTCATTAATTTATTTATTAATTTTATTAGATTAGATGGGTGATCGCCGTTGTTTTAAATAATTTCCAATTGGATTGGAATTTCAAGTAGGAATGAGTGGAACCTAACATGGAGTTGGATGGTTGGAAAAGTTTTGAAAAAATCTTAAAAGATTGGCCTGCATAAATTCAAGAGATTAAGTTCTTCGTTCCAAACCTAACAATTATCAAGAGTAGAGAAACTGGATTAATTTTAATGTTAATATTGCTGATAGCCAACTTTCGCTCCCACCAGTTGAATGATCATCCCAATCATCCCAATCGTTATATGATGTTACTATTCAAAGGATAATTGTAAATTACTACTCAAATAGACAAAGTGAAATTTCTTGAACTGACATTTGACGGAAGAATGGGATGGGGTCCACATATCGATAAAAAAAAGGAGAAGGTTAAACCTCAATATAAGCCTCTTTTACACCTCTCAGCAGCGAAGGATTTTGATAAACGATGTGTCGAAAGATGCCGTATTTCATAAAGGAATAACAAATCCCGATTCGAGATATATGAATGGCTTACAATAAAAATGTCAGTACTCACTGAACGCATAATTCGATGTTCTACAACTTTGATTCTATGGATTTTTCCTCTTAAGGAACTCATTTCCAAGTTGCATGGCCATTTATAGTAATTTGTCTCAGTTTTTGACAAATTTGGTCTGAATCAGCGTTGATTGACCTTGGCTTTATACCTTACCACCATACCAAATTATAAACTTTATTTAATCGTTCGACGCACAATTTAACGTTCTTTATTTTAGTAAGTGTACATTTTTCGCTTTGATGCATCGTTTAGGAGTTATAGGTGAAAACACAAAAACATTAAAAAAATCTGAATTTTTTTGCTGTAAAAAGTTTACCCTTGGTGGCCCACATATCGAGAAATTTTGTTTTTTACATGTACTAAACCCATATGTACATATTAAAAGAATAAAAACTTTTTTCATATTTTTCGCAGTGGATTTTCCATTCCAATCCTCAAATTAGTGGCCTAATATTTTTTAAATCAGCCAGCATTCTTTAAACCAGTGCCTCAGGAACTGCAGACAAGGTTTTTTTTTACTCAGAATAACGTACGCTTTCATAATTTACAATCAAAATTCGCCAATTTTTGGTACCAGGGCTATACGCTTTACAGGTACACGGGGCTGCCAAAACGACCCAGATACGGAAACTGCAAACTTTACAGGCAAAACTATCAGAACTATAACTAATGCTCTATGGCACGTCACAAATCCGCACATAACGACCTATTCATGCCAACAGTTAACGGCCAAGTACATACACACTACAAAAGATTGTACGATAACTTACACGAACATCCCAACACTCATACAAAATATGACGACAATTAATATGCGCAATAACAGACATAGGAGGCTCAATAAAAGCTGGATGAGGGATCTTCTCTCTTAAAAATCCTTACTAAAATCAATACAGGCAGGGATGCAGCTGTGCACTCTAATCCCTTACGCCAATCAATGCTGATACAAATATTCTTCCCGACAGCATACTCATTGATTGTCAATATTTTTGATATGTGTGGATTAATACATAAATATATAAAAAGGAAAATACTAATTAAATAAATTATTAAGTATTTTCAAACTAATATATTTAAATAAATTATAGATATATATATATATATATATATATATATATATATGTATATATTTTTTTTTTTTTTTTTTTTGTGTGTAGTAACTGTATAATAATGTTTTTATTATTTTTATTACAGAACAGCAGTTCGCAGCCGCTGATTCAAATAGTACTACCCCAACCAAGTCTTTCGTTCCATGCAAAGTTTGCGGCGACAAAGCTTCCGGTTACCACTACGGCGTTACTTCCTGCGAAGGATGCAAGGTAATTCATAATAGTGCTTATAATTTACAATATTACTCAGCCTCCGCTGGCTTATTATAAGGTATTATACCAATGAAGTTGTTGAGGGAGAAGCGCATCTTCGAAAACCTCTCTTTTCGCTCCACAAGTGGGGAGACAAGTCTGGTTTGGAGTTCCTCTGAATGATTGTTAATATTGTACATAGGTATGGCTACGTCTAAGATGTTTATTCTATTTTTTAAAGAACATTTTATTTTATCAATTATTGAAGGAAGTTAGTTGACTGTTCAATATATCATGAGTAATAAATGTTCAGGACGCAGTCATAAAGCTTTTATTTCAACCCAAACATGTGGGTTATCATCAGGGCGTGTTTCGAGTACTTGAATACCTTCAGTGATGGAAACACCCCCAATGATGTTTGGGTCGAAACGTCGGCACTAATAAAAACTTTATAATGATTGCGTTCTGAATATTTAATAGTCAAATTAATATTCTACATAGTAAAAACTATTAAAAAGCTATTTTTCTCGTGTTATCCTAAGAAATGTTTCCAGGAGGTACGATTTATTAAATATTTTATATTTACCTTTAAAGCTTTATAAATCATAACATAAATCTTTTATAGCTAATGCGTTATTTGAAGGTCATTAACTGAATCTAGCAGTATCAGCTGAATGGAACCAATTCACAAAATATGTAAAAAATAAGTTAAAGGCAATTAAGGTAATAATGAAACAATGAGATGTTTGTTTAAAAAAAAGTCAAACCACAGTGAAGTTAATTTTTTAGGAATATGTTGTTATGGTAACCATATTTTAGGGTAGATATAATAATTTTTAAAAAATAAGTTTGAGCTTGAAAATAAAATAACTTGATTGAACAAAACTTGAAGCTTTGGCTTGAGGTTTCCCAAAACATTTGAAATTTGAATTAAACGCCAAACATTTTTCATTACCTACAATAAAAAAAAAATCAATATTCTACTAATAGGAAATTTTTAATAACAGATTCATATGAATGATGAAAGCCCAAAGATATATAATTTTGTAAAGATCTTATTTTCAGACATTCTAGCGTATTTTCTTCAAGTGTGTATATATGTTTTCTAATGTATCATGATAAGAGAACAACTTATTTGCTAACTTCAATGAGAAGCTTGAAAATTCCATAACTTTTTTTTTTAAATGAACACTGCGACGATCAAGGAATTTAAAAAAAAACACTGCATGGAAAAATAGTTGAAGGAGACCTCAAAAACAATTAGAAAATCGATATTTTCCTGTTGATGAACGTGCTATGCTATATCTTAGAAATTTGTTTTCGCCCTGTATATATGTGCCTTCATACGCATAAGGCCAAAGCAACCTGTATCAATCGCAGAACCATTTAGAGACACACAATTTCAGTGGCCCTACAAGACGGATCGAGGTCGATTGATCGATGTTTCGGCGCTGTTGCGATTACGGTGGAGTGAACAGTCTTGTAGCTGTCAGTAAATATGATGTATAGTCAGGGTCTTCTGTCAGTGTGCGACATTAGGCCACTCTGTATCGCGGGCGATGTTCAGCAAGACCCTCGCAAATGCGTCGATTCTTCAAGCTTGTTGCTTTGGAAATTAATCTATTCTATTAGTTAGAATAACAGTTATTGGTTTAAGACATCCCTGTTAACATAATAAGGTTTAAATAGTTCGATGAAGCTCATGTGGGAATGTAAAGATTGAAATAAAAACAAAATTGATTTTTTTTTTCATTCTTTCTTTTATTTTATAATTGTCGTTGTATAAAATATAACTCAAGACAAATGTAATATGCAATCCTCATTCCACAAGAATAGGCTTTGTTATTGTGTAAACCAAAAGCAAACTATTACCCTCATACATTCAGGGGTATCCACCCCTCTCCTCCCGCAAGGCCGATGGCGCATACACCTTCATTGAAATTGAAACCCTCGTCAAAATGTAACCACCCCATGAAACCCTCTTCCGGGCACCCCTGCCCTCATATATTAAGTTTTCTTTATTCTTCAGAATGGGAGACTGATTTGGCCAATCAATGAGAAGCCTTTTAATTTTAAGCTCCTTTTTCTAGGGTAAGAGAGGAGCGATTATGGTGACCACAGAACTTGGAAGAAATCTAACCCATGCAATTCCTTTAGGTGTAAATTAAATATACCGGGATAATTTGAAATATGATGAAAATCTCTCAAATTAACATGACTCCACTTAATCATACGAAAATTAGCATGAATTTAAGACCCTATAATATACACAAAATGGTACAAACTATACACCCACAAATAAGTTAGGCTAGGGATGAAAAATAAAGCGTTCCGGCGGTTTTTCTTTATTTATTCCTTATACATGAGAAAAATTTAAGTCCTTCCGAAGTGAAATTTCAATCACAAAACATAATCCTTACAAAACATAGAATATGATCTCCTCACCCCTCAGATCCTTCGACAACTTTCATCCAAAGCAGTCATATTTCTTACATATATCTTTTATTGCATCCTACGTACCGCTCAGTTTCTTTTGCTATAGAAAGACTCAACTATTATCCTTTTCACAAAACTATGCAAACCTCCCAACAACTTGACATCCTACAGTCCAATTAGCCTACTCCCAATTATCCTATCTCTCCGAACGCTCCTTTCGAGTACGCTGTGGAACAGCATTTTTTGATATTTATCCTATCAAAGCCGGTATTCCCCAGGGCAGTGTCTTGAGTTCCGTGTTTTACACTGTCTCTACTGCTGATATCCCTGCTTATTCTATCTTTCTTACAAAATTTACTAATGACACCACAACCCTATCGTCCCACTCAGATCTCGAAATAGCTTCCTTCTGATTAGATACCTCTCCCCGATTGAACACTAGTGCAATAAACGGCGTATTAAAGTGAATGAATTAAAAAACAAACATATTATCTTTACTCCCCGACGCAATTCCTGTCCATCATTATATTTTAATTTCATCCTGCTACCTTACTCAGACACAGTCCGGTATCTTAGCTTTCTCTCATACCGAAGACTAACGTAGAACCCACATAATAGACTTAAAAGACAAGAAATCAACCGACGATATGGCCAGCTATATAGACTATTGAACAGAAAATCCCAACTTTCAACTGACTACAAATTACTTACCTACAAGACAATACTGAAACCTATTTGGACCTACGGACTGGAACTGTTGGGCACAGCAAAATTTTCTAAGATCAAACGCTTTCAGTCCAAAGTCCTTCGGACAATAGTTGATCCGCTAACCAACAAAACCATGCAATGACCTTTTCTCATATCTCATTTGTCCTAGACTTTATCCCTGAAAATGTTTTACAAATTCCATCAAAACCTTACATATCATCCAAATCAGCTTGCACAATCCGTATCTAGCTCCTCCCATCCTCGAAGGTTGAACAGGCAATGGCCTAGAGACCTGTTGTAAGCATATATTAGAGTTCTATTAATGGTCGGATTCTCCACTCAAGCCATGTATGTCTGGTTATAGTACCTATAACCAGCCTCCACTGCTTCTTAATATCAGTAATGCGGATGAGTGAGAAGCGCTGGGATCTGCTAGACTACTGCCTTTCCTTCCACGAGTGGGGGAATGGCTTGGCTCGGAGATCTTGAATGAATGAATTTTGTAAATATTGCATAAAAGCATATGTGTATTTACGTAGTTATTTTTATTTGTTTAGTTCAGTTACTTTTAGTTTATATAGATTTACTTTTAGTACTATTATTTTTCAGTTCATTTATTTTTATTTATTGTACATAGTGCGAATGAACTACTATTACTATCCGCCATTTACTTTCAAAATGGCGGCCGAAAAACCTGCGTTTCTATACCTAAGCAAATGTACCGCTTTTAATGAAACTTCGCTAAAGTCATTTTCTCGACGCCCTTTAAATTTATCTATATAACGTACTTCAAGAAAAAGAAGCTGGAAAAAAAGTTACGAGGGACGGTAAAATGAAATTCGAAATAACTCAAAAAGTATACACTTTTTTGTCTATATTGTGATAAGATGTTTCAAAGGTATTTAAATTTCCAAAAAAAATCAAAGCACAATTAGTAAAGATATCGCGATTTTAAAATATTTTTGGTTTATAATTTTCATTGCGAAAAAAAAAGGGAGAGAAGGGTTCTCCGCAGAATCTATGGCCCTGTATGCTAACAGGGACAATGGAGAATTCGCACTAATAAAGAACTGTATGAAATGTATGGGAGGCCAGATTTGGTCTCAATTGTGAAGGGAAACCAGATCAGATGGTTTAGCCATGTGGGCCAGATGGGTGGAAAACGTGGAAGGGGAAGACCGCACCTGAGATGGCTGGACTAGGTTGAGGACAGCCTGAAAAGGATGGGTATTCGAAGATGGAGAATGCTCGCTCGGGATAGGGGAGAGTGGCGAAGGATAATAAGAGAGGCCCAAGTTCTTACAGGACCGTAGCGCCATAAATAAATAAAAATTTTCAATAATGAACCATTGTGATCGACCGAAAAATTCAAAAACTTACCCCCTCTCAAAATTTGTGGGTTTTTTTAAGTTTATAATTGAAATTTATGAAATAAATTGATAATTTATCATTTTTAGCTCAATTTAATTGATCGAAAAATTGGTCAATCTTTCACTTGTTTCTTTTGCAGGGCTTCTTCAGGCGGAGTATCCAGAAGCAGATCGAGTACCGGTGCCTGAGGGACGGCAAGTGCCTCGTCATCCGGCTCAACAGGAACAGGTGCCAGTACTGCAGGTTCAAGAAATGCTTAGCTGTCGGCATGTCTCGGGACTGTGAGTAGTTCACTTCATAAAAAGCTATCTCTTTTATTATGCTTAATATGCTATTAAATTGACATGGTTTTTTATGTAGAAAATGAAAGTCTGAGTAGGATAAAGCTTTTCAATTTACTACATTATCTTACCTCTTGTACCAATATTGAAAATATGCAGATACAAATGATATGTTTGGAAATATAATAAAATCAATTTTGGATCTAGGTTTAAAATACCTTAACATTTAATCAAATCGAAAGATTAACGGCAAGTGGAGTTTTGCCCGTCACCTGGATCCTGGAAAAGAATATAGTTTAAATTAAATTGTCGGTCATTACAGTCTAAAATTAAAATACAAAAAATTACTGTATGAAATACCATATCCGCATGCACTAGCGGATCCAGGATTTAATTTTGGTGGGGCTTCCTTTTTTTTTTCATAAAAATAACGATAATTACTGTGGAAAAAAAGAAAGAAACTAACTACCTATATGAAATGGTGTTTCTAAATTATTTCTAAAGTCCTTTTAAATGTAATAATACGAACAATAATACTTTAAGAGATAATTTTTTTTTTTTTTCGTGAAACATGGTTATATTTTACCATTTTGGGGGGACTTCATCCACAAAGCCCTCTCGTAGATTCGCCCATGTCCGCATGTAACTATAGCATAATTATAACCTCTCATCCCACATGTTCATTGCTTATCGCATTTTACAGCCATTATATCCTTAACAATTAACGTAAATGAACCAGTAATTGACACTGTACTAGAATTAGACAGTTTTCAACCCATTAACAAATGATTAGCTAATAAACCCCATCAAATATGAGCTTAAAGAGTTAAGCGGGTAATGCCCGAATCTATAATATGTCACAGTAGCCGTTGGGAAGTTAATTTTTAATAATGCAAGACTGGTTCTTTGTTCCATGGGTTTTTTTTTATCACTTTTCAATAGAGGATAAGTTTGAAATTTTGATTCATTCAGTTGGAATTTGCCATTTCTTTGTTTAAAATTGGGCAAAGTTTATTTAATGGCTTTTAATTATATAAAAACCCGTTGGAACCAAAACGCGGGTGTCTATTACTGATGCAGTATACACTATTAAAATTGTTCAGGTTTTTCATAAATAATTAATTATATTAAAAAAAATTGATAAAAAAAAACTAAATTTACTGAGAATTAAACCCATTTTCAAAGATTCAAGATCAGAACTAAAGCTGTGATTCACATTAATATTGAAGTATCTATTACCAGTACATTAATCTAGGTTATATATATATATATTTTTTTTTCCTCAGTGATATCATGAGAATTGATAAAATTGATTGTACATGTAAAATATGCCTGTGCCTGTTGAACAGCTGTGCGGTACGGGAGGGTGCCGAAGAGGTCGAGGGAGCGGAGCGGGGAGGAGAGGGTCTCCACGAGTGACTCCTCAGCGACGCCGCCAGACCCCGAGAGCTGCCCGGCCTACGAGCTCATCCTCTCTGTGGCCCAGGCCCACGCCTCCAACTGCGACTACACCGAGGAGGCCACAAGGTCCATAGTCCGCAAGCCCATCCAATCACCAGTGAGTAATAAACAAAATCAAATGCAAGCAATAAAAATGTATGATCAAAAGGATAGTAGATATTGGATATATAGAGGAAAATCACATTTTATTTTTAATGATTGTTACTAATGGACCAATAAATAAAAAAAAATACGAAGTTTCTAATTCAAAAATACGATTTTTCTCATTTTGGAGTAAGTGGGATAGTTCATTGGGTATATCGTTGAACTCCTATTATTGTAATTTTTGGTAGAAGGTGGAAAGAAATGTGTATTATTAAAATTTTTATTTTTGATTGTATAGTTTTAACGAATAAATGACCAAACACACACACACGCCTACTGTACCCAATGTAACATATGAGAGAGGGTCTTGGATTGGATAAGTACTATTTCTTTCTTATTGATCCCAGGATCCATCCATAGATAATGTAACAAGGGGTCTCCAGAACATTTTGTTATCCAACAACAATATATCCAAGACTTCCACACCATGACTTTTTATGACAAAAAATATCATAATTAAAAAGAATTGAAAGTCAAACATCGTGTAACAATTCATCCACATAAATATAGAAAACAAAAATTATGAACTTTTTACGATTGATTTTGAAAGAGCTACATATATTTTATTAAATCCATCAATCTTATTTTTTTAAATCAATACATTTTAATAACCATATTTTTTATATTTTTTTTAACCAATAACTTTTTATTAACGATAACAAATTTTACTAACCAATAACTTTTAATTAAAATTATCAAAACTTTTATTTTACTATATATTTGTTTTCACTTTATTATTCCTATATAACGCTAAGGTTTTTGAATTAAAACAAGGGTGGATTTGTCTCCACAATATTAATAAAAATTCTCAAAACAGAGCGAAACTTTTATTTTACTAATTTGTTTTCTTTGATAATTCCTCTGTAACAGTAAGGTCCTATAATTAATTATATTGTTTAATAATTGGTATCACCTTCAGAGAGGGAATGCAGGAGAAGCAGAAGCCTATCACCACTGCCATTGGAAGGGATGACCAGAATTTGATAAGTGTGATAACGCTTTCCAAACAGCCACCAATTTCTACCTATGATAATATACCACTCATTACTTTTCATTATTACTTTGCTGAAGAGAGTCCATTGGTGGTGACTACTCAATCAGGCTTTATCTCTTTGCATTTGAAAGAGATGAGCTAGCCCTTGAACTGGATGCCCTGCCCCGTTCATTTCGAGAGACAGTGGGAGGATGATAACCCCCTTCCTACTACCAAATTGCTTTCAGGATGCTCCTGGGCGCTTCCCATGCCAGATCGACAGTGAACAACCCATCCAGCCTCCAGAGGATAGCTGAATCAGATATGGAAGTTTGATACCTCATTCTGATAACTTCCGTTTCAGCTTGCCTCTGCATGATCTCTCCTGTACATATCTATACTTCTGTTATTTTATTGGCTTTGTCAATACACATTGCCTTAGCTTTTTCTTTATCCTTTTTATGTGCTAGTTGGCTCTGGAGATTCCTCTTTTGGTCAGATTCCATTGATAAAGTCAATCGGAGCTGGGGAGAATCTTCATCTAAGAGGCCTTTATTATCCTGAGACGATAGATGGGAGTTAGTATGGCAACAGCCAGCTCTTTTCCCTCATCATTACATCCATAAGTCTCTGTAATTTATGGGATGGTCTGAGAAGACATCACGCAGGAGGAACGTTTAGCTGCATTGTATCCATTAATTATTCCATTGGTGTATAAGTTTTGTCTGAATGTGTTCTACTGTCTTGTTATTATAGGTGTTCAGTCTTCCCAATGTCCAACCCTGCCTTATTGAAGAAGCTCCTCCGGCAGTGAAGTCCAGTGGCCTTGGGAAAGCAACTCAGGTCCATGCAGCAGGGTTCCATACAATCACCAACTGCTACTACTGCGACATCCAAAGGTCCAAAGTTTTATACTAAGCTGATACAGCTGCCTACCTGAGGGCCGGGGCTGGGTGGCCGAGCAGGCTAACATATGTGCACAGCAACCTGATAACCGAAGTTGGCGACAATTAAATTACGAGTTCACGTCCTGGTGTTCAGGGGGTCTTTTAACTCTGGCATTAATTCCCCGCCCTCACCTCTTGGTCTGGGAGAAAACCCCCGCATAGCCTAAAAGGCGAGGTAGGAGAAAAAAAAAAAGTAAATAGCAGCCAACCTAATTGAGTAAGGGTGGGGTCGCCGAGCAGACTAACACATTGGGTAAAACTTGGGTTAGCCAGCAACCTGATAAACTGAAGATTACGAGTTCAATTTTTTTGATTTTGGCATTAATTACTGCCCTCTCCTTTAGAGGCCTTTGTGCCTTTGTGATTGTGTGTGTTATTATTGGGTACTGTAGTGAACATTGCACCTCCAGTAGTGTACTGTATGGGGTCAGAGTGATTGTTTTCTATTATTTATTTTTGGATCAACAGATATATATATAAGCAATACATTCAACAAGCTGCATGGTATGGGATTTGTGGCAAATGAAAAAACAAATCATTCACACTGGACATCATTGAAATAATTTTTTAGAGTGGGAAGATAGCTTACAGCTCTAAGAAAATCTCAGATAAAGAATTTAATTATCGAGGAATATACATAATTAACGATAAATGTCAAATTATTAAGTAAAATTATCATCAGCATTTGTAAGGTTGATTACAATAAATTATAAAATTCTTAATTACATTGCATTGATTATTAATCTATAAAATTTAATAAATTAATTTTTAATGCTATGAGGTAGGGCTTATTTGTATAGGATATATGGTCGGTTAATGCAAAAAGTCCTGAAGTGATATTTCATAACCTCAAATTAATCTACATAGTGGTCAAAATAGTTTGGCCGTACTCATTAAAATAAATAAAAATTAAGTAAAAATAAAATATACAGAAAACAACTAGATTAAAAAGATAAATAAACAAAAAGAACAATAATTGGTATGAACTCAATGATTAAAATAAATAATAATGATTACAAAGAACCTAGGGAAACATTTGACATATAGGCGAAATTTTTATAAAGTAATATTAATTGGACTGGCCAAGAAAAATGTGGTTGAAGAGGAGAGAGAAATCTATTGAAGAATGGCGGATGATAGGCGGGATAGAGCTCCAGAAGAAAGCAGCTCGGCTTAGGAAGGATTTGTAACAGCAGCTCGATGGAGAAGAGGATAGGAATTAGAAGGACAACATCAGTTGGGTCGGGATTGAATGGGATATTCAAATTGCATGTTCTGTAGTATGTAGGGTGGGTGCTGAGTTGTGACAACCTAATATAGGAAGGACACTAGGAAATACTCACACATTAAACTTGACACAATACTGGGTTATTCGTGTATCTCTGGCGATCTGGAAGACAAATCTAACTAAGCAATTCATTAGCCGTTTAAGTTTTGCTTCAAGTTTCCAAAAAGTCCACTGTACATCAAGCAACCATAATAAACACGGGAACACAAGGGACAAAACTAGGAATTGACAGAATGTACCTGAGAGTCACTTAAGCCTATAAACTTGAAAATAGGCTTATTTTCTATTTTGAATTGATAATCTTAAACATTGGCTTTGTAGCAATCATTTGATATAGCAACTCCTCAACAGGTATTCTCAAAATATATTGGTTTTTTGCTAATTTCAAAACAATTTTTCATCAATTCCTACTTTTTTTTTCTTTTTATAATAAATAATTAATGAATAAACCTCATATTTCAGCCACCCCCATCGAGCAATGGCCCCGAAGTGGCATCCTCTACTGTTGAGAATCTTGAGTCGCAGAGGATATGGCTCTGGCAGCAGTTTGCATCCCATGTGACACCCAGCGTCCAGAGGGTTGTCGAGTTTGCAAAGAGGGTTCCAGGTAAATCAGTATATTTTTTGTTTATTTGTAGTGTAATGTTCTTATACCTTATACTCGAACTAATGATGGAAAGTCTATTCCACTTTTAACATACTCTAACTAACGATGGAAAGTCTATTCCGCTAGTAATCAACTTATTCTAGCCTCAATGGAATGATCAAGCTTTATTCTTTTGGCTTTTCACATCAAATAACAATCCACCCAAGTTGGAATTGAAAGTGTGAAACCTTAACGCACTTGGCTACCATGGTCATACACCATTATATTCATAATATGTACCATTGAAGTTAAATAAATTAATATTTCCAATGTGTAATGTATTCTATACTTTATTTATTTAAGCATGTAGTTAAATTATTATAAAACAAAATACATTAAAATGTTATTGAAAATTCTATTAAAGCAATGATACAACACAATCATAATTAGCAATATGATGGTTGTAAAACAATACAAAATATTTAAAAATTACTTTTTCTTATTCTACTTGGTCATTTCCAAGTCTTTGTTCATTTATTCATTGCTGTCATTCACTAGCGGGTCCAGGATTTAATTTTGGGGGCTTCAGCCTAAAAGCATTTTTATTTATATATATAAATGATATAATAATAATTACTTTGAAACAAAAATAAAAAAAACTAGCTACCTTTATAAAATGGTGTTTAAGTGATTCTTGAAGTCCTATTAAAAGATAATTTTTTTCATAACACATTCTTATATTTTACCATTTTGGGGGAGGAGGAGAAAAGCTTCAGCCTGAAAGCTCTCTCCCCCATAGATCTACCTGTGCTGTCAATAGTCTCTACTTTAGTCTTTATTCAACCCTGATATTAACAATATATATTTTTTTGTTTACTTTGACTAATTCTTTATTTAATTTTGGTAAACCAATTGTGTTTGCTTTTCATTATTTTTTGTAAATCATACCAAATGAAGGAAAAAACACAACTGAAAAAAGGACTAATTGTAAGTGCCTTGGAGTCAAGGAAATTTGTAATTGGATGGTTAAAAAGGTTGTACATTGTAAAATAACAAAATTTTAGTCAAGGCAGTTCAATTTTGAAAATAAAATTCATCATTATGAGTCTAAAGCAAACCACTGCAGAGTACTAGATGACAGGGACAGACTGTGAAGCTTGGAAAGGAGGGTATTGTGGTCAATGGAATCAAAGGCTTTGGAGAATATTAAATTTATTAGAATATTAGAATATTAGTCAAGCAGAATAATGATGGTTATTTTCTGCCAGTCCTATATGAAGGTCTTAGGAAATTTTAAGGCTGAGAGAATGGATGAGGCTTATTAGGTAAGAATAGCCAGAAGATGGTATCAATAAATTGGTAATGAAGTCTGTGAAGAGAATAATACTATATAGGATAGAAAGGGATCAAGTTGTAATGGGAAGTCTCAAATGATCCATCAAAGGGAATCCTGGGAGGGAAATAAATGACAGCAAAGAGAAGATGAAACGAGGTGGTTAGGGTTTCAGCAATAAGATATTCTATGTGTGAAGACTCAAAATGGAGGATTTTGGATTTAAGGCTGTCCTTGACAAAGAGGCCTCACCACTAACCATATCATGCACTCTGTCATGACGAAGGAGGGTATACTTGAGTATAGAAATCTGAAAAGACCGAATTGTGAGTTTTAGCCAGGTTTCAATGATGAATGATGACGACCACCTCCTGGATGTCATCCCTGCGACATTTCACTTCACCCTTCGTCGTAATTCCTGTCCACCAGTTTACTTTAATACCATCCAGCTTCCCTTCTGCGACACAGTCCGGTACCTTGGTTTTCTCCTAGACTGACGACTAACATGGAATCCGCATACTAGACTGAAAAGACAGGAACTTAACCGACGTTATGGCCAGCTATATAGACTACTTAATAGAAAATCTAAACTTTCTATTGAAAACAAACTACGGATCTACAAGATCATATTAAAACCCATGTGGACCTACGGACTGGAACTGTGGGGGACAACCCAATTTTCTAACATCAAACGCATTCAATCCTTCCAGTCCAAAGTCCTCCATACAATAGTCGATGCTCCCTTCTATGTCTCTAATATAACCCTGCACAATGACCTTAATATTCCATTTATTCTTGATCTTATCCCAGGCAAATTCTCCAAATTTCATCAGAACCTTACCCATCACCCTAATCCCGTAGCACAATCCCTATCTAGCACCACTCATCCCTACAATCCTCCTCGCAGGCTGAAACGGCAGTGGCCACGTGACCTTTTGTAACATGTATATACTGGAGTTCTGGCAATGGCCAGATTCTCCACTCAAGTCATGAGTGTCCGTGGTTGTAGCGCCCTTACTCAATCTCCGCTGGCTTTCAATGCCAGTGAAATGGTTGAGGAAGAAGCGCAGGGATCTCCTGAAGCCTTGCTTTCCCTCCACGTGTGGGGGGATAAGTATGGTTCGGAGTTCCTATGGCCGACTGTAAATAGTGTAAATAGGTATGCCTGCGTCTAAGATGTTTATTTTCATTACTTTTTTTTTTTTCTCACTATGATATTTTATTTTGTTCTTTTGTAGCTTTATATTATTTGAAGTTAGCTTATTTTTTTATTTATTTTTTTTTTTAATTTGTAAATATGGTGTGAATGTGCTCTCAGAACTCTATTATAAATGTCCTTTATTGAGACAGATTGTAATATTTATCAATAAACAAAAAAAAAAAAAAAAATTTTAGTACCAGTGACAGCTACATTTACTTGTTTAACCATAATATATTCATAGAAACACTTTACTAATCCTTACATGATATTAATATTTCTATAAATTAAGGACAACTGTAAATGATGGGTGTACTTCTTTACGTTTTAAACAATCCACTTCATTTTACAAAATAGATATTCTATGCAGGAGAAAGTATATTATATAGTTTCATTTATGTGAAATTTTTCTATTAGAATAGATATTTTCTAATTGAAGTAGTTAATAACTATATCATTTTTAATAAATTAACTAAATTTCCAGAGAATGAAAGTGATGAAATTGTATATATTATAGGTTATAACTGTTTTTTTTTATTGCTTTAAAGGTTTCTGTGAACTGAGCCAAGATGATCAATTGATCTTAATCAAGATTGGTTTTTTTGAACTTTGGCTGTCTCATGTTTCTCGGCTCAGCACTGATTCTACCTTCACCTTCGCTGATGGAACATTTATCACCAGGCAGCAATTGGAACTGATTTATGATGTAAGTAATAGTGATTAAAGTTGTAATTGTAGTTACAATTTAGTAATAGGTTTGAAGAGATGATTTGTTGGAGTTATCAGTAAAAAAATATGTAAAAATAAATGAATATTTATTTTTATTTTTGCCGACGTTTCGGCCCAAAGTTCAGGAACTTGCAGAAATCTTTCGTTTGACCATCCCTGATGAAGGCCTGAACTTTGGGCCAAAACATCGGCAAAAATAAAAATAAATATACTTATTTATTTTAACATCTTTTTTACTGATCACCCCAACTAATCTTCTCTTCAGTTATTCACTACAGTTAACCATTAATCCACTATTAGTAATAGGTTTAATGATATTGATATTTTTTAATTTTTATTGGTTATACATGGCCAAAAAAAGTTTTCATACATGGATTGATAGGAGATAAAGAATCAACAACAACAATTCTTTCCTACATATTTTTACTTTCACTTACGTATATATTAAATATATAGTAAGGATAAGCATTGCGATCCTGAAAATTTTTAAATCTGAGTTTTCAACAGAAATGCACATTTTGGGGTACCCTGAGTCCAAATAACCAAGTTCTGAAAAATGGTCTGTGTGTCTGTGTGTGTGTGTATCAACCTAATCAAGGCAATGGCATTGTTTAAAAAACTATTTCATTGTTCTTTTGTGAAAGTTGAAGTAAAATGTAAAATCATTTCATGGATGTATAAAGCATATGTTTATAACCTTAAATACATTTACTGTAGTTTAATAATTCTAGATTTGATATTATATTTAAATATTTAGGTATCTATCGTCTGTTTATTCCGAAAAATCATCATGTAACCTTTTAGAAAATTAAATTAGTGAATAGTTTCATGAAATTTCCTTTTGTGATATTCCAACAGTAACCACTTACAATTAGTGTGACAACTTTTGACCTGTCCATGACAGACAATGCAAATCTCTTAATTCCGTTTTAGTAAAATTTACAATGGAAAATAACAGTATAATAACTAATAGTCAAGCAATCCATAATCAATGGATTGTGCAATCAATAATCAACCGGTGATATAATAAATAGGACTTTTGTTATTTTAATGTTATTTATGATTTGTTAGCTGTATTTTTTTAGCTTTAGCTCGGTTAAAAATAGCCCAACATGGCCAGAAAATAATTTCTATTCAAGGTTGAGTGTTAAGTGAAAGTTGTGTGTTGCGCACACCAATTTTTTGTTTTCTAATATAACAAAATAATACTCCTTCAACCCATTAATATCACCTCCATAACTAAAATATTTTCAAAATCAATAAATTAATCAATACTTAACCCTGTTAGCAAGAGAAAAAATCTGTTGCGCAGTGCACATCACACAACTTTCACTTCAGTAAATAGGTATTTTCATACATAGGGAAGTCAAAGTGAAAAAGACGGCGTAACTTCATTGAAAACAATTAATTATCATATCTTTCCTGCACATTGAATCTGTTAAATTTATACCTTTGCACCACTTTTCATTTCCTTTTACGCCTGTGTATCCTCCTCTTCCTCCCCTTTATGGCTATACGTAGTTTTCCCACACCAGGGGATGTGTGTGAGGATTTAAAAGACTCCCCCTATACCAGGATGGGAACTCGTGACTATTTTTTAACATTTGTCTAATATATCAGGTTGCCGGAGCAACAGTGGTGCTGTGCACACACGTTAGCCCGTTCGACCAACCCGCCCGCATAATATAAGGAACCAATCCAAAAGCTGCACTGAATTTCCCCCATGAGGTTTTTACCAGTCCAGTAAATGTCTGATTTTGATGAATTTGGTGTTTGTTTATCTGACAAACTTGAATATGATTCAAGGTGCAACAGATTTCCATGGGTAGCCAATAGATGCAAAGATTACAGTTATGGGATGTTAAACCTATTTTATGTAACCATTTTTTTTTTAATAATCATGCCTGATGATCATCCTAAATTCAGCAATAGCATCTTTTCTCATCAGCTCACATGGCCCTTGTTGAGGACTGGTTACCACCACATCGTCTGCTGGGTCAGTTATGATTAATATGGTCAATGGTCAACCATTTTAATGATATACCTTAATTTATTTTCCTTATTCTTCAAGATTGAATTTTCCATACAACATATTAATGTTTTAAAAAAACTCAACAACTGGACCATTTTATGGACAAAACACCTGTTTTGTTAACAACATTCTTAAGAATTTTTAAAGCTGTAAGTTCTTACAGAAGATAAAATGGGTTAAATCTAATTATTTCAATCAGTAAGTTGGTTATAAAAGTTTAGATTTGTCTCTAGTTTTGTAAATTTATAAACTTTTAGTAATTTTGAGTTTATCTCTAGTTCTTATGTCCTTTACTTTTATTCATAAATGTGAAATTATAGAAAAAAGAATTTTTATTTCACATTTAGACATAGAATGTTTGTAAAATTATTCTTCACCTCCAAAGTACTATTTTATGCTGGCAAAGTGAAATTTATAAAAAATGGACATAAACAGTTATGATTTTAGCCATCAATATAAATGATAACATGCACTATACAATAATTAAGACCTGTTTTATTCACAATATAAATGCTAATGTTAATTGTGATATTTTGTAGGCAGACTTTGTTACTTCTCTGTTTCACTTTACGAGTTCCTTCAACTCTCTGCTGCTTGGTGATACTGAACTTGGGCTTTTCAGTGGCCTTGTCTTGTTATCAAGTGATCGCCCTGGCATCAGTGATGTGAAAGCCATTGAACGCCACCGAGACAAACTCATTGAAGCACTTAAACTACAGGTATGATAAAGTTGTCAATGTGCTTATAGTTATGCTCTGACAATTTCATCTTCAAGGTACATGAAAATGAAACAATATTTATGTATTACCTTTTGAAAGATTTTATTTGATTCCAATGATATTTTATATAAACAAATTCGTGAACTGTATTTTACATGGTATGTTCAGAAAATCATTAAACCAAATTTGTACATATCACTACGTAAATTCGCTATAATCTTGATTTGATAGGGCTTAAATCACATTTTCGACCAAAATGAGATTAGTGGAGCATCTGACTCTCCTTTGTATAATTTATATGAGGGACTAACTATATTTTTGATCTGTTTAGCAATAGCCAAGCTATTAATGTACTACTCAAGTTCTGACTAAAGCGTTAGAATAGAAAAATAGTATGATATGTTTTTTATGTTTCCACAATCAGTTTCTGAATCTCTGGTTTCATCACAAGAACAATCTAACCTTCATCCTAAATTTTTAACTGAGTATTTAAAAGGTGCTGGTGTCTAGAAAAGTAGAAAGGTGGAGAAAAAAAATGGTATGGTTGGATCATCGGTATAATCTTATCAAAACATACTTTGATTAATTCATGATTCATTTATGCTGACATCACACCTCATCACCATCATATTTCATTATGCATGTAACATTTTAAAAATAAATATCAATTACTGTTAATTATAGTAATTAACAGTATTTAATTAATTCTGGATGAGGATGACATTCCGCTGGACCTGGTGGAAATCATGGAAATTGTGAGCAACCTAAAGATGCTTAAAGTCTCTGCAATAGATGGAATTGAAGCGGAGCTGCTGAAGAAGAAATCTCTGAGGAATGGAAAGTAGTGGTTATCTGCCCCATATATAAGAAAGATGACAAGCTCTGTTGTTCTAACTACAGAGGGATTTCTCTGTTGAATGTTGCCTACAAGGTATTGTCTACTGCCATCAACCGGAGACTTACTGCTCACATGGAAAAAGAAGTCGGGAAATACCAATGGCGAGGCGAGGAAGGTCCACAATAGACCAAATATTCACATTGCGCCAGGTGCTAGAGAAGTCTTTGGAACACAATGTTGATCTGCATCATCTTTTCGTGGACTTCAAGACTCTGACTCAGTGGATCAACCTCATTGCTCAGAGATCTTTTATCTCTGGGTGTCTCAAGGAAACTGACCAGGCTGGTAAGAATGATCATGTGAGACACAAGATGCTGGGTGAAGCTGCAGGGGATACTATCCAAGGAGTTCCAGATAATGGCAGGAATCTTGCAAGGAGATGCAAAGGCAACCACACTTTTTAATATGAGCTTGGAAAAAGCTGTGCATGCTATCAGGGCAAACCCAGGAGGTACAATCTTTAATCGCCTCACACAGCATCTTGCATATGCAAATGACATGGAGATTGTGGCCAGATAGGCTCCTGTCTCAGTGGCAGGAGTTCTAAAGAAGTTTGAGGTGGCATCAGTGGCTAGGGGTCTGCGCATAAACAAAAATAAGACTGCCTACATGAAGAGTAGCAGACGTTATCCCTTGCAGAACAATGAAACAATAAGTATCGGTGCCCATAACTTCTCAGTATGCAGGTAGCTTAAGTATCTTGGCTCCTTGATGACAGATGGTAATAGTATTAAGGCTGAAATTGGTGCCAGAATAGCTGCGGGAAACAGATGCTATTTTGCCCATCAGCGGGTACTTAAATTCCGGAGTATGTCAAGGAAGGCGTGGGAAGTAGTTTACAAGACCATGATTCGCCCTGTTGTAACTTAGAGCAGTGAAATATGGACAATGATAACTGAACATGAAAGAATGCTGGGAGTCTGGAAGAGGAAGATCCTGCTTAAGATATATGGATCTTTTTGTGAGAAAGGAGTCTGGAGAGCCTTTTGAGGAGGAATCAGAGCCTGTATTGAGGAGGAAGAAGGAGCGACAGGCCACCACTCTGGTGGATAGATGACATAGAGGCGGATTTCAGACTTGATGTCAGGCAGTGGAGAACTGTCCCAGCAGATTGAGAAGAGCGGCAAAGAATTGTGAAGGAGGCTCAGGTCCCTCGTGGACCAAATGAAGAAGAAAGGTTAACTATAGTAACTTTTGAATTCTCAAAAATATATATCTAGAAAATTTGTATCTTAAAAGTGTATGTATATTTTATATTGTGTTGTAATGTTCTTTGTTGTAATTTTTCTTCTTTCTTTCAATGGCACTACAGCCTGATGTGGACCTTGGCCTCCTCACTGAGCCTTTGCCAGATGGCTCGGTCCTTTGCAACTGCATTCCAATTTTGAATGCTTAAAAGGGTTCAAAGCATCCTTCATAACTGCATCTTCCCACCTCAGTCTTCGCCTTTCTCTTCCTCTCGATCGGTACTGACTCCCAAACAGTACTTTTTTGGGAATTTCTTCCTCATTCATTCTTCAACGAACTATTGAGCCCAAATATGTGAATTGGTCCACATTTTCAAATGTGAATGGTCCAATTGTGACAGGTTCTCTGATGAAACCATCTGTTTCCGGGTCAGCTCTCATGTATTTATTTTTAGCTTTATTTATAGTTAGTTCCATACCCACAGCTTCTTTCATTAGCTTAAGAAAAGTATCTTTTAAGGCAATCAAAGACATAGCTACCATGTCAAGCACCTGCACCATCCTGTTATAAATGGTATCTGCAGTTCCGATAACATCTTTTCTTATTACCCTCTCTAAGGCAAAATTAAATAGTAAGCCAGCTAGGGCATCACCCTGTCTCAATCCTCTCTATGTGATGAAATCAGGGGATGAATCCAGTTGTACCTGGACTGCACCCTAATATCATTCATTATAATTTGAATCAGGTGGATGGGCTTGGATGAGACTCCAAACTCACATAAGGCTTCATAGAGTTAGGGCCTCTTAATGCTGTCATTTGCACTTAGGAAGTCTATAAAAAGGTGGTGAGTGACCATTTTATACTCCATACCTTTTTCCGGAATCATACGCAATCCAAATAACCAATCCACCATGGATTCACCACTTCTAAATCCCGACTGATATATGTCAGTTTTTTGCTCAGCGAATGGGAGGATCTTCATAAAAAGGACATTAGATATGACTTTATATGCACATTGTAAGAGTGTGATGCCACGATAATTATCACATTTCAAGACGTCTCCCTTCTTGTGAATTGGGTATATAATACCCTTTCTCAAATCATTGGGTATTTTCTCTCCAACCCAGATCTACAAAATAATATTATAGATTGTTTTATGCTGTCTTTCACTTCCCTGTTTCAAAAGTTCAGCTGGGATTCTGTCATCCCTGGTACTTGTTACTTTTAAGCTTATTTATTGCTTTAGTGACTTCCTCAAACTCTGGAGGGTCAGTATCATCTTCTCTACAAATTTCTGTGTCCGAAACTGCTTCAATCCCAGTATCTTCATTTAGCAATGAGTCGAAGTGAGACGTCCCATCTTGTCATCCCTTCAGTCCAATCTGTCAGTAAGGAGCTATCCTCATTTCTACAAGCTGTTATGTGAGGTTTGAATGAACCTCTGCTCTGATTTACCAAGCGGTAGGACATTCTGACATCATTTAAACCTCCATATTTCTGTATTTATTCAAGTAGCTGCAACTCCTATTGTTTATCTTTCTTTTATGGGTTCTCTTCTAAACTCGTCGCCTGGCTTTGTATTCCTCTGAGGACAGCCCTGTATGCTTTTTCTGAACCATATTCTTATAGGCCTTTTTTTTCCTCCCTGTTACAACCACACATTCATCATCGAACCAGGGTGATCTTTTCATTGTAAAGTGTTATTAATCATTAACATAGTGTGTAACATTATTCATGAAATGGCATGTAATATTATTTTGTATTTCCTAATCTGTGCAACATTACAATACTGGAAAATTCTTTTTGTTTTATAGACCAGCCGTAGCGGACTGGAAACTGGAAGTGTGTTAGCAAAGTTGCCTGAACTTAGGGTGTTGGGAGCAAAGCATGCGCTTATGCTGGATTGGTTTAGGCTAAACTGGGACAAGCTTCGGTTACCTCCTCTCTTTGCTGAGATCTTTGACATACCAAAGTGTGAAGAGGATCTACAGTGAATGTATGTATTAGATGAATAATGTATTGAACTTTCATATTATATAAAAGCAAACAATAAATGCTTGGTGTAAAATAAACTTTAAAGTTTACATTAAACTATTTTATTTGCATCAACATAATCAACCACTAGTATATAATAAAAAAAAAAATGGTACTTGTGACATAGGCGGTCACCATGGAACCTACCCTCTAATCTCGTGTTAGCTCTTCTTGTCACCCATCTCAGCTTAGTTACTTGTGTGTTCTTCTCATTATTCAATTGTTTTGTTTTTGTTAATATTGTTATTTTCTATTTAAAATGGTTTTAATAACACTTTGGCAGAAAAGCAAAAACTAAAAAAAAAAAAATGGAGTGCCTGGAAAAGTTGTTGAAATAGACAAGTCTTTTTTTAATAGAAAAAATCTTGTAGTAGGGAGATGTTTGGTGGCGTTTGTTGAGAAACAGATGGGTGTTTCATTATAAAAATAAAAGGGAGAAAAGCATCAACTCTACTAGAATGTATTAAAAATAATATAAAAGAGAGAACCACCATATATTCTGACTGTTGGAAAGGGTACAACGCTCGCCAACTAAATGAAGAAAACTACAGCCATTTCTAGGTGAATCACCTGTATAATTTTGTCGATCCTTCAGGTGGGGTCCATACTCAACAGATAGAACGATACCTGTCCATCGCTATTTTAAATAGCATTAAGCTATTCTGTCTCCCAAAATAAATAAAATGTTGTAAAATAAAAGTGTTTTATAATTATTACATTTTTTTTGTTTTATTTCAATTTCCATAAATATAAATAAGGTAGGTATTATCAGTATCAGAATTATCAATGTTCAGGTTATAAACAATGGCAGCAGTCCATACCAATGTACCAAAAGAACTATTAATTAACAACCAAAAAACAGGGGTGCCCATCTCCCTGTATGGTCGATTGTACACAAACCTTCATCCACCACTCTCAGGATATCTTTTTTAGTGCCCTCTTCTTAAAAATCAGTACAAGCATAAGTAACATTTAAATAATCATAGATTATATTCAATTACCCATCCAGTGATCTGTTCCATGTTTCCTCTTGTCTTCTGGTTTGAAATTTTTCATTTCGAAAATTCGTAGCACCATCAAAATGCGCCCCCTGCAACTTGACCCATCAAACCCTTCTCTGGGCATCTCTGTCAAAAAACATGTATTGAATTATACAATATATATTAATCCTGGCAGCCGCCACCCAAACAAACAGGTGTGTTGTTGTTTTTGCTATTTAAATAATGCTATTTTAAAGAAATAATAATCTCAATAAAATGGTTAATTGTAAAACATGCAGTAAATCGGTGGCACGAGAGGAGAAGAACAAATTAGCCTGTACAGTATGTACAAATATATTTCATGCTAAATGCATCAAAATTGATAGTGACTCGGAAGGCCTAAAAGAAATTAACGAAAAATGGATATGCCCCGATTGTGCCTCTGAGCCTACAATGATTGACCTATTGAAGGCCCTGACTGAGGAAGTAAAGCAGATGAAGACCAAGCTTCAGGGCATCGATGAGTTAAAGGAAATAAAAAACACCTCAACAAACAGTCGGAGCAGTCTTTTGAAAATATGGAAAAGCTGTTAAAGATACAAACCCTGCTGGAAGGACAGAAAAAACATGTCAAAAAATTGTTTATCGAAAACACCCCCTTAAAGAAAAAAATATTGGAGCTGGAAATTCGGTTAAATTATACTGAGCAATATCAGTTAAGAAACACAGTCGAAATTCGAGGAATTCCAGAAAAGGCGGGTGAGACTGTGACTGGGACCATCCTTAGCGCCAGAGCGAGTCTGGGCATCAAGTTAAGTCCAGACGATCTAGATCATGTAGTGAGGCTCAAATCAAAGCAGGAAGGAACTCCAGGTCATATCATTCCTCGCTTTGTTAGGCAAATTACAAGAGACGAATTGCTGCAGCAGAGAGAAGAACGAAAAGAGACTTCTCTACACGCCATCTGGGCTCGGGTGACAACGAGTCGCACTGGGTTTACATGAGCGAAGCAATGACCCCCGCCAATAAACATCTAAACTGGTTAGCCAGACAAAAAAAGATGACGGCAAAGATAAAATACCTGTGGTTGAGTGGTGGTAAAATTTGATGCAAACAGTCAGATGGATGTGCGGCGGTAGTTATAGGGAAAGCTAGCGACTTGGACATTTTTATATGAATTTTGTATGTAAGTCTCCCAAAATTTGAATCAATTTTAGTCTTTCCTATCAAAAATATTTGTATTTTAATTTTTGCAAGTTACCTTCTTCATTATCGTTTTAAAGAGCTGGAATTTCATTTGACTGAATGTTTTTTTCTTTTTAATTCATTGTAACTAAAGCCATCTTTACATTTTTTCACATCATAAATTAATTCTTTATATTTATTTTTATTCAAGTCTATATGAATTTAACTCTTTCTTTTCAAAGTTTATTTTATGCTTATATTTTCTTTTCTGTTGCAAAAATGAATATTTTGTTAAAAAACTGTTATATCCTACTCTCCTTCCTCGATCCTTTTCCCAGCAACTCTCCTTCCCAACATCTCAGTTATGACTAATATCCTAAATTCCTGTCACGTCAATGCACAATCCCTTAATGCCCACTTTGATGAATTCCAAAAATATTTCCTAGATAATTTTTACCACACAATAGCAGTATCTGAAACCTGGCTGAAACCTTTTATTCCTTCCTCCCAAATGTCATGACAGATCTGATCGCACGGGAGGTGGTGTCGGACTATATGTACATAATATTCTCAAGGCCAAAATCCTCTTACAGTCTCCTTTTCATGACCTTCCTCACGTTGAATATTTATTTGTTGAAATTACCTCTATTTCCTCTCCTTTACTGTATGTTGTTGTCTACTGCCCTCTTTGTGTTCTATTTGACCAACTCTTTGAATCCTCCCTTGTCAACCTGGTTTCCTCCTGCTCCAATATCATCATCTCCGGCGATTTTAATGTAAATATGCTCTCAGAATCTCCCGACAAATACTACCTCAATGACCTAATATTTTCTCTCAATCTTTATCTTGTCCCTTATTCATCCACTCATCACACTCAGTTCTCTGACACCTGGTTAGACCCCCATATCTCTGACTCACCCCTTAAAATTCTTTCCTCCTCTCAACACCCTGTACCCTTTCTATCATCAAACGACCTGATCCAAATCTCATATGACCTATCCGTGAAATCATTTACTCCCAAAATAGTGTCATATTGCAATCTAAACCTCCTTTCATATGAATCCCTTCAACCTGACCTTGATTCTGCCCAATGGGATACCATATTTTCCTATACCTCCATTGACCCTATGATATCCACCCTTACCTCAAACCTACAATCCATATTAGACATCCATGCTCCTCTGAAAACCAGAATCTTAGATCGTCCCACCGCTCCTTAGCTGACTCCTGAAATAAAAGGAATGATAAAGAGAAGGAATGCAGCAAGGTGCAAATACCGTCAAACCCGCTTACCTGCTGATTATACGTCTTTCAAACAACTTCATAATGCAACCCAATCCACAATCCGACTTGCTAAATCCAACTACTTTCATAATGCCCTTTCCAATGCTCCCGATCCCAAATCAAAATGGGAAATACTTTGTAATCTATCCCTACCAGATTCCAATAACCTCATTTCCTTCCCTGTGACTCCAGATGATCTTAATGATCATTTCTTATCTTTTGCTTCTTATCCTTCTCCTACTCATGATATTGAACACCACAATTTCAATCTTGATAACTTCTTTTTTTCCCATCTGTCCTTCGACGAAGTACTTTCCACTATCCTCAAATCCCACACCAATGATTATGGTCTTGACTATATTCCAGTAAAACTAATAAAATCCAGCCTTCCTACCATTATTTCAGTGCTTTATCATATCTACAACTTTTCATTGCAAAATTCCATATTTCCCTCTTCCTGGAAAACAGCATTAGTCCGACCATTGAGTTAAACATCTAACCCTTCCTCACAGAACGACTTCCGTCCTATTTCTCTTCTTTCCAACCTCTCAAAACCACTGGAACCCCTAGTCCAAAATCAACTTTCCAACTTCCTAGAAGAACGTTCCCTCATCAATCAATTCCAATCTGGCTTCCGACCTGGGTATCCAACGCAATCTGCCCTCCTTAAAATAACCCATGACCTCCAAAACTCCATTGAACACCAAAACCTTACTATCCTCATCCTTCTAGATTTTTCCAAAGCGTTTGATACAGTTGACCATAACATCCTTATTACCAAATTGCAAAATCTTCCTCTATCCAACAGTGTCCTTCCTTTCCGATCGATCCCAGTATGTAGTCGTCCCAGATCAACCTCCTTCAAAGACGCTTCCCCTCTCCTGTGGTGTTTTTCCTTTTGAAATCCGTAGACTTCTGGTCACCTCTTTAATATTTCCCCACTTCGACTATTGCTGCACAGCATATGGAGGCGTATCCGAGGCGAAACTAAAACGTTTGATAAATTGCTTTGTACGATTCATCTTCGGGATCCCAAGGGACGCCCCTGTTTCCTGTTTCTATGAAGGGTTGAAGTGGCTTTATCCTTCCTACTGCCGTAAGTATTTTCTGGCATCCTTCCTCTTCCAAGTAATTCACTCCCGCCGTCCTTCATACATTGCCGAGCTCCTTCAATTTAAATCCTCTGTCCACTCCCGCAATACCCGTTCCCAGTCTTCAGATTTATATATAATGGCCCACCGAACCGTTGCTTTCGATAAATCTTTTATTATTCGATCATCTTCCCTATGGAACTCCATCCCTCCCCACATCCATCAATCCAAAACCCTTCCTATCTTTAAATCCCAACTGTTTAATCATTTCTTATCCATCCAGTCATCATAAAATTGTAAATAGTTACTACTGTAAATATGTATATAAATTATTAGATCGTTCTTTATTATTTTTACTTCATGTTTATTTTCTATTTTTTATTTTTTATTATTAACTGATGTAAATTAGAAAGTAACTTATAATTTCTCTTATTATTTTTTTTCATTTATCTATTTTTTTTTTCTGACTATTTAATCAAACTATATTCTTCTTTATGTATCTCTGAGGCTCCTTAGCCCACATTTCTATCTATCTATATTATTCTAAAGGGACTCGTCCCAGAATAAATAAAGCATTGTTATTATTATTATTATTATATAGTAGAACCTCTATTTATTGAAATTCCATATTACCAGGTGCGCAAGTAGAATCAGAATTTTCCTATAAAAAATTTTATACACAAAATTATATTTTGTAAATGTAAAATTAGTTTAATGCATTAAAATGTTGAAAAAAAAACAGCCACTAGGTATACATTTTTCTCATCTCTCGTTGATTAAAGTGAATCAGTGATTTCCAGTGATTGAATAAACAGAGAATTGAGAAGTTTAAAGATCCTTATTGCACTTACTCAACCATGTAGAATGAATAATTTTACTCTTAGATTTTTCTTGATCTGTGAAAGCTTGAACTAATAAAAACATAGTGAAAAGAAATACCATGACATATTAACGACGAATGAACTGAATGAAAATAGTGACTCTGTTTTTATATGGGGTGATCTCATGAAGAACAGTACTACAAATATGACAATATTTAATTGTTTAATGTCAAGTTTGAAAGTGCCTTTTCAAATAATATTATAACTTTGTTTTCAGATAACATGATAACATTATTGTCTTGTGCCATGCCTACAATATAAACATATTTTTATAACTGAATGAATCTATCTCACATTAGGAAAATCATTATTAAAATTTACAAAGTAATTCTTTTGAGTTCATAGTGAGTTTGAAACTGTTTCAGGATTGGATGCTGCAGTTCTAGCTAAAGTCAGTGTCTCTCCTATCCTTCACTCTTCTTGCTCAACGGGGGAGCCAAACTCGAGGCGCCTCTTCGGTTTTCTCTAGATACATATCATTATTATCTACCACTAACAAAAACATTTAGTTATTTGCAAAGCAAAAAAAATTTTAATTGTACCCTTTGACTTCCTCAAAGAGTATTTTGTAAATACTATTGTATTTTAAATGCAAACTAGGAACAAAAATGTTATTATTTTGTTGTTGTTACATATTTATATTATAAATATTATATAAGTTATATATTGTATGAAATATTATATTTTAATTTAATTCTATTAAGTGAAAGAAAAATGTACGACTAAAAAAAAAATGAATAATTAAGGGCTCTTTTTAAGGCAATCGACCAACCCATCCATATCTAACAAAAAGAAATATTAATTTTAAAAATCTTAATAAAATAAAAAATACAAAAAAAAAAATAATATCTTTATGTAAATTGTGAATTTATCACACAATGTGTTCAGAATACCTTTGCCCGTGGAGCCCTGAATGGGAAAGTAATTTTTTTAAAAATTATTATTGGTAATAGTTAGGGCTGCTAAGACTTATTGATATATCATTAACATATTTAACTACTCTTAGGTACCTAACTTTTGTTGAAACAGCACTCAGATTAACTGCCAATAAGCATTCCATAAATTAATTGGGTTGAATTTTTATAGAGTATTTTGGTTGAGATAATAGTAAGCATATTGACCCTTGTTACAGTATATCGATAGGTCTTTTACATTCCTAGCTGTTTCGCATTTGATGCTCACAAATAGGTTGTGATCCATGCTTTATAACTTGAATTATTATTTTAAATATTTTTTTTATTTTTTTTTTATGTCCTATTTAGTTTTGATTGTTTTATAGAATCAATTTAAAATTGTCTGGGAATCTTTCTTATCCCTAACTTTCCTCCTCCTCTCTTGACTGAACGGTGCTCCACTAAAAACTTCCTTCCTATCTACTAATTTGTATATATATACATATATGATGTAGATATGTATATATATATGAACTTTATGAGTGTTTATTGTGATAATATGCTGTTAAGGCATGAAAGCATTCCTTATTGACACATAGTGTGAATTCGTGTACAATCATAGTGTGATGGCTTTTGAAGTACTTAAAGGAAAAAGTACTTATATTAGCTAATTTTCATTTTTCCCAAAAGCTGGGAAAATCACTAGTGATATATCTTAGGTATAAAATTCTATATTTACTTTTTATGTTTCTGTATTTAAGAGTGTTTAAGGATATCACTGTTGTTGATGTTTGGTGTCGTTTGCTTCCCCTACTGTACAATCTGTTCTGTAATGAAACACTGAGGCATTGTTGTCCGTGGTGATGTGGTGCACAATCACTGTGATATTAATCACAGTTAGTTAATGTGGACTGTCCCAGTCTGCGAAGCTTTCAAAATGTTCCACTCTATTATAAATTATTCTTTTTGTATTGTTAAATGTGCCAAACTGCACGAAACCCATGCAATAAGACACAAAAGAGTTATACAATCAAAACCTTTTTGATAATACTCTTTAATAATATACTAAAGACTTATAGGTGTGATTTATTGTTAGTCTATATCGCTCTGAGGCGTCCAATCAAATATTCTCTTTTTAAATAAGTGTTCTATTCTTCACAAGTTTTCAATCGATGTTACTCCTCAATTTTTTCAAGTCATTTTGGAACTGTTTTAAAATCATTTATATATACTTTATTGAAAATATTAACTTTTTAAATAAATTGATCTCCAGACAGTAACTCATGTCTATAAATTTAACAGTGTTCAACTTTTTACATGAGTGTGTAATTTTCTTATTATTGATGTGTATTTCGATTTTCTTCTTTATTTGCTGTTGTTATACTTTATCTTCTTCTTCATCATTACATTCCAACTCATATTTTGCTTGAAATCTTAAGAAACTGAAGAATATGAATGTATTACTCTTTGTTTACTATTTACTACTAATCTTTAATGTAACTGATAAGGGTTGTGATTCCATATTAGGATATGTAAGATATTAATAAATTAAATATTAAATCAAATTGCAGATTGAGAGCACTCTTGATAATCACGTTTTTTACAAATTTTCAGTACTAATTTTATAGGTTTATTTATTATTAATTTAAAATAAAATTTTGTACTAGGTTTCTAAGTAAAATGTAGCTTGTGGATTAAAATAAAAAAAAAATTAAAAATTATAAAAAAAGTACTATGATAATTTTGACTGTACTAGGAATGGGTTACATTGAATGAGCGTACAAATTAGATAGTATGTGTATACTTTGCTTTGAAAGCACAAATTATTTTCTTGTAATATTCTGTATGATGCTCGAAATTTGTCGCTTTATAAAGCAAAATGCCTTTAACAGACGTGTTAGCGTTTTGTTTAGAAAAGTGCAGTCTAGTACTAGAGATTCCACTGCCTTCTGGCTCGACAGTTGGTGAGCCTGATTGTATACTGTAGTTCTAGGCATACTATCTGTAATAATAACTTTCTATGAAAAATAGTTTTAATTTCTTTTTTATATTTTATGATATTATTTATTGTTTTATTTCTTGTTTGTAATTCTTCATACATTTATATAAGTTTAGATTTTTTAATATGAGTGTGTATATTTTAATTTCTTTGTAATTGTCTTGTCTCACAATTGGATAAAAATTACTGCATTTACTGTATTGTAATGCCATGTTGACTATTTCCCATGTTGGAAGGGAAGAATATTACTTATAAAAATGTTCCTAAGACTAGTCCTTTTCACTTATTTACTTTTTTGTAAAAGTTATAAATCTTAAAGAACGATAATTTTTAATCTGAGTTAATTACAGGATATTCACCATCTGATAATCATCACAAACAGAAATACTTGGTTTTTGTAAAACAAAGATTGATTTCACTCACTGATAGAAAATTGATTATTTATTACAAAAAAGGACTTTTTAATTTTAAAATTAAAATTTTAATCCAAAATGTTTTTAAGAAGTATTATAGTATACAATTAATATCCACAATAAAGCAAATATTACAATTAGAAAGTATCAATTTATTTCATACATTGTTGTTAACAAGCCAGACTTGCTATTTCTTTATTTTAAATAATCATGATTTATTTTTTAATTTATTTATGTATTTTTGTTTTGATATTATTTTGACAGAAAATGACTAGTCATAGACATTACCTTTACCATCAGTGTCTCTCAGTAGCTATAAACCTTAATGTGCCATTTTTCATATTAGTTAAATTGTTTGTTTCCAATGGTTGGTTACTGATGAGATTGAAAATTTTCGAAAAGGATTGCATCACTAGCATCAGAGCCAGTAAATGCAGTTAGTTTTTAATTTATCGAAACGGCTTCTCACATGTCACATTGCAACAATACTCACGCTAGCGACACAATCTTTAATGAAACAAGTGCAATAGTTTGGTGTGATACACTTGGCATTAAATTATAAGCACAAAATTCTTTTAAATGTCGGTTTATCAGGGCAGGCCTAATAAGGAAAAAAATATCTGAGAACACGTTATGTTTCATTTGTTGTAATTACTTATATTATCCTTGTTTTATTTAGTTTTTAAATAAGAGGAAAAGGCTTTAAGATATTCAATATTTATTATTGTATCGTTCTTAGTGAAAATATTATGGCAAAATGCCATTTGTTGTGTTATAATTATTTTTATTATTACTTTTTTTTTAAGAAAATGAGTTTTACTAAAAGGTTGCTTTAGATATTCTATTGTAGTTACTATATTGTATATAATATACATATATATTTTTATTTTATATGCACTCCCGTTGATTTCTTATGAGGTGTTGTAATTTATATGATTTTTAGAAAGACATTGCCAGAATAAATGGGGCTGGTTTAAAAAAAGATTTTTTTTTTTTTTTTATTCCCATGATGATCCACACCACTTTTACCTTCCCACCCTTATTTTATTTGTTATAAATATTACATTATTAGAAATATTAAAGCGTAAACCATTTACTCCACAGCTACCAGGAAACCTAACAGAACTGCCCAACAACAATAAAATGTTTGCTGGTTAGATTCAGATTAACAAAAAATAAAACAGATTTTGGATGTGTTGGTCATTATGAACGAATTATTCATAGGAAGGAAGTTCACTTAGTTTTTCTGGGAAGGACAGGATTAGACATCTTGATGATTTCTTCAGTCATATTAGCATGGAGTTAGAGAGGTGTATGGTGGGCTATTGACCCTTCCCCTCACTCCTCCTTCCTCCTCCTCTCAACAATAAGTGAGAATATCATTTTGCTTACTTCCCCAATCAATAATTTGAAAACGAGAAAATGATTTTTCAATTAGAAAATTATGTTTTTAAATTAACTGACGTGAGAGAAGCAAATTTATATGCAGGACTACTTTTTTTTATTTGGAATTTATTTAGCAAAGTGGTTTCGAAATATAATTTTTCCATCAGTTGAAAAATATGTTTAATCTTAAGTATTGTAAGGGCCTATTTGAAATTTTATATTTTAAATAATGTACATGGAATTTTAAATAATAATAGTTATAACCTCTTTTAAAGAAATAAGCAGCAAGCTTAAATTAAAACTGAGAGTGGGGTTAAAAAGTTATAAGCAGGGTAGATGTAAGGAAGGAAATAAACATAACACTTGGAGTTTGATTTTAAAATTTACAACGATTTCCTACTTTCTCTGCTGATTAATCATTATTATATTAATAGGCAAAGGCAAAACAGTTCAACAGGATTGTGTTATGAGAGGTTTGTTTGTTTGTTTGTTTAGGCTTTAAGGCTAGGGATGTGACGGTACAGGTGGAGCAGTGAGGTGTAACAGAGTCTCGGTTTGGAACAGCGACAACCTGTTCCAATCCTTGGAACCTTACCGGTCCAGTGACAGTGACAATGAAAAAAGTCTTCTTATGCATTTTCTTACTTAATTTATGGATATATTAATATGTTATATATTATATTTATTAACCAACAGTCTCTTGTCCATTAATTAATTAATAAGTACTAGGTTTATCGCAAAAAATATATTTCATTACTTTAAATAAATAATCCCTTCATGTAATCAGAAAATTGTGAGGTTGTTGTAACTGTATTCGAAATATATAAACGGATTTGTGCAATTTGCATGCATTTACAGTTATTTTATATCTAAAGGTAAAGTCGAAATTCACAAAAAGTATATTTGAAAATTAACCTATATCGAAAATACACGTAGTATATTTAATAAACGCTGATATATATAAGTATACATAAATCATTTTTGTGAATATTAAAACAATAATATGATTTGTTTAGTTGAATCTCGATATCCACAGAAAATACATATTATTAACAGTCGAGAAAATAGTAAATACTACAGTATTTACTATTGTAAATAGAAAAAAATATTTTAATTAAAATTTTATTTGTTTGATTATTATTTATTTATTTTCGTAATCGATTCATTCCATTCAAATATTTTTTAAAACAATTTGATACTTGGCAATAGAGAAAACATCTTTTACTCTGGCCGGTGCGACTCAGAAACACTGGCTGTTCCGTACCTGTGACTGTCACAGCTGGGCCTTATGCTCCACTGTTCTGCTGTCACAGTTGGGCCTTATCGGTACTCCACTGCTCCACCGTTCCGCTGTCACAGTTGGGCTTTATCGGTATCCACTGCTCAACCGTTCCGCTGTCACAGTAGAGCCTTACTAGTACTCTGGCATACAAAGTAAATAAAATTAGATGACTTGAATTCATAAATTGATGAATTTATTAATTCATTTATAATTGGTAAACATAATTAAATATAAAACCGAAAAGACATAAATTAGTAGATTTATATTTCAATAAGAAAAAATATATAACACAAATGTAAACAGTAGGTAATGAACAAATTAAAAAAAATAAATTGAAATAAGAACAATTACTAAAAAAACTGATAGCATATATAAAGTTAGAAAATACACATACAACACTAATTAAAAAATATGATTTTTTTAAAAATAAAAATTAATTAAATTTTAAGGGTATATATTATTCAATCTAATTAAAATAGATAATATTTATGATAGTATTTCCTGAATTAATACAAATAATATCATACAGAACCTGAATAATGTAAGCAATAAAAAAGAGAAAAATATTAATATGAATTTTATAGTGGAAACATATAATATTCTTTATAAAAATAATTATTTTCACTAAAATTAATGTTCCAAATAATTTAATTAACTTACTCTCACTCGGAGAAAATTTAATTTAGATGGCATTAAAATAGAAAAAGACATTATTCATTTAATAGCTGATTTAGAGAAAATGTATGTAAGTAATTCATTAATTCATCAGAAAGCTATAGAAATGGAATATAAATGTTATAAATAATAACGAATTAAACAAACATATGAAATAAAAATGAAAATAAACAAAATGTGATTTATAAAATCAATTGCAAACAGTGCATAGATTGAATAATTTTTTTAATAATCATATTAATTTTAATATTGAATATTTAATAGTTGACCATTGCATTATAAAGGAAGGAGATGGTCGGGGGTGGCGGTCATAAATAGGCTAAATAGTGATAAAACTATTTCATTAAATAGTTTACATTAAACTTTACTTGCAGGTACCTGTGAAAGTCGAGCGATAGTTGAGTTACAAAGATATTTAGAAGAACCTGATGAAGGTCTGGAAACAAATCCAATAAAATGGTGGCAAAGCAATAAGCATAATTATCCGCTCCTTTCAGCAGTCGCTGAAGAACGCATGTGTATCGTTGCGACTTCAGTACCATGCGAGCAGCTTTTCTCAAAAGCTGGATTAATTATATCAGAAAAAAGAACTCAAGGCACAGATGCTAATTTTTTTAAATGCAAATTTAAAATTAATATGATTATCAAAAAATTATTCAATCTATCAATTATTCAATCAGCTATTAAATGAATGTCTTTGTCTATTTTAACATCATATAAATTAAATTTTCTCCGAGTGAGAGTAAGTTAATTGAATTATTTGAAACATTAATTTTAGTCAAAATAATTATTCTCGAATTATTTTTATAAAGAATATTATAGGTTTCCACTATTTAATTCATATTAATATTTTTTTTTTCTTGCTTACATTATTCATGTTCTGTATGATATTATTTGTATTAATTCAGGAAATACTATCATAAATATTATCTATTTTAATTAGATTTAATAATATATACCCTTAAAATTCAATGTATTTTTATATAAAAAAAATTATATTTTTATAATTCAAAACACTAAATTGTGTTATATGTGTATTTTCTGTGTTAACTGTGCATATGTTATTAGTTTTTAGTAATTGTTCTTACTTCAATTTTTTTTTTTCAATTTGTATAATACCTACTGTTTACATTTGTGTTAATTTATGTCGTTACGGTTTTATATTTAATATTGTTTACCTATTATAAATGAATTAATAAATTCATCAATTTATGAATTCAAGTCATCTAATTTTATTTACTTTTTATGCCAAACTACTCAGCTCTTTGCTAGAGCCAGAGTACTGGTAAGGCTCAACTGTGACAGCTGAACGGTTGAGCAATGGATACCGATAAGGCCCAACTGTGACAGCGGAACGGTGGAGCAGTGGAGTACCGATAAGGCCCAACTGTGACAGCGGAACGGTGGAGCAGTGGAGTACCGATAATGCCCAACTGTGACAGCGGAACGGTGGAGCAGTGGAGTAGCGATAATGCCCAACTGTGACAGCGGAACGGTGGAGCATAAGGCCTAGCTGTGACAGTCACAGGTACGGAACAGCCAGTGTTTCTGGGTCGCATCGGCCAGAGTAAAAGAGGTTTTCTCTATTACCAAGTATCAAATTGTTTTAAAAAATATTTGAATGGAATGAATCGATTACGAAAATGAATAAATAATAATCAAACAAATAAAATTATAAATACTATTTTCTCGACTGTTAATAACATGTATTTTCTGTGGATATTAAGATTCGTCAAAACCAATCACATTTAAATATTCACAAATATGATTTATGTATACTTATATATATCGGCGTTTATTAAATATACTACGTGTATTTTTGATATAGGTTAATTTTCAAATATATTTTTTGTGAATTTCGACATCGGCGGTTTATTGTAAATATACTACTTGGCTTTTAATAAAATAGTTTTGCCATTATTTAGCCTATTTTTGACCGACGCCACGGACCATCTTCCTCCTTTGTAAACGTGTATTTTTCATATAGGTTAATTTTCAAATATACTTTTTGTGAACTTCGACTTTACTTTTCGATATAAAATCACTTTAAATGCATGCAAATGGCACAAATCCGTTGATATATTTCGAATACAGTTACAACAAGCTCACAATTATCTGATTCCATAAAGGGATTAATTATTTAAAGTAAGGAAATGTATTTTTTGTGATAAACCTAATACATACTGATTAATTAATAGGCAAGAAGTCTGTTGATTAATAAATATAACACATAACATATTAATATATTCATAAATTAAGTAAGAGAATGGCTAAGAAGACTTTTGTCACTGTCACTGTCACTGGACCGATAATTTGTCACTGTTCCAATGGTGTCACTGGAACATTTGGAACAGTGACAGATTTTTCATAGAACGTCACATCCCCATTTTAGGCGTAAAACCCTAGGGTCATCAACGCCTGTGAGTCGGTTATATTTGTAAACTCTTTAAAGGGGAGTTAATATTTAACAATAGATATAGTAATAAATAAAAAGAAATTTAGAAACATATAAAAGATGAAATATATTAAAATAAATATTAAAAAAGAAAGAACAATAAAATTAAAATGATATTTATTTCTATATTTTATTCAACAACCTATGTACTTTAAGAAATTGTATCAGTTTTTGATTCGTTGTTGCTTAATACCGCTGATATATACGGTTTTAGAAACAATCGATTTAGGCTTGAAGTATAATAAGGGCATTCTTGGAAGATATGGTTGACTGTGAGAAGGCTATTGCAATGCTAACAATTTAGTGGTGGCTGCTTAGTGATGAGATGTACATGGGTTAGGTTCGTATGTC